GTGGGTGGAGAAGCACTAAGAGCTGGGGTCCTGGGGGATTCCGGCCACACTGAGCTAACAGGGTTCTTTCTGGAGACAGGCCAGGGTGGCCAGACATCACCCCGGGGGATGGTGGAGGACAGAGAACCCGACTAGATATCGAGGGTGGGGGTTCCAGTCGAACTAACATAGCAGAGTTCCTGCTAAACCTGGATTTTGCTGGAAGTAGACAGATGGGCCTAGGAGAAGGTTCAGGAGCCTATGGCCAAGCAAAGAACCTTTGTCAGAATCCTGCTCACCCTTTTCTGCCCAGTTCAGATGCTGTCTGCCACATAACTTCCCCCTGGCGACATCTCTGGCCCCTCCAAAAACCCACAGGACCCACCCTCTGTGCCAGGGCTTTGCGAAGCATCCAGTTTTTTAGATGGATGGGAGAGATCCAGTTTTGTTTTGTTTTTTTCACTTCCAGTCTGTCACAGATCGATAATCTTTGTAAACTAGGATAAAAATGAATTACAAGGTAAAGATATAAAAAAAGCAAAGACATACAAAGCGCTAGCCCTACTTTTTGTGTTTCTGTTGAACAAACATAAAATCCTTGTCCAATCGCTATAAACGGTTTTAAACCCTGACCTCCGGTTTCTGGGCAAACCCATCACCCCTGCCGTGTAATGTGTCAGTGTGCAGTCTCCTCTCATCTGTCCGTTCCCAGAGGAAGTGGCTTCTGGGGGTGGACTGCAAAGAGGGGTGACCAGGCTTCACCAGGTGTGAGGCATGGCCTGAAATCCAGGTGGCTGTGGACAGTAAAACCCCAGGATAAAGCACAGTGATGTCCCACCTGTTTGGGATGAAGGTGAGCGAGCTGTTCAACCTTTCCCCGAGTAAGTGATGGGGGTCATATTCTTAAGCACTATGTCATGTTGGTTCTATCCATGCACCACCAAATTCTAGACCAGCGCTGCCTTATGGGACTTCCGGTGGTGGTAGAAACAGTCTCTATTTGTGCTGATGTCGTAGCCATGAGCCACACGTGGCTGGGTGTGACCGAGGAAGTGATGGAGAGGTGCTTTCTCCAGAGTCCAACATCTGGATTAAGGTACCATTCGCATGACATCCACTGAGCGAGACCACACGTTCTCAACAGGAGCGATATCCCCTCCAAGGCAGCAAAGACTGATTCCTTAGGGTTAGGGGGAGAAATGTACTCTTTATGTAAAAAGCACATGTATACATCTAGTACACACACAGATACACAGTTTTCTGTAGTATTAAGATTTCATGGGGAAGTGTCTAGAAGGGTGGGGGGGCAGGGAGAGCACACAGTGATGGGGGAAAAAAGGTAGAGAAGCTAAGATACTGAATGTGTTCTCCCATGAAAGTCTAGCAGGTATGAAGAGTGTTGTTGTTGGTCACCCTGGGAACTGAACAAAACTGCCTTGCATAAGTGCTTTCTCAGGAACCTACCCGCCGAGTTCCTAATTGCTGACACATGAGTGGATCTTTGACACATGAGTGGATCATGTTATAACGAGGGGACTACCTGTAAAAAAAAGAAAAGAAAAGAAAAAAGAAAGCAGCTTTTTCCTGTCAGGAAAAGCATCAAGTACAAAATTCGTAAAGCACCTTATTTAATGCCCTGGGGACACAGAGAAGAATAAGCCTTAGGCCTTGGGGTCAGTGTTGTGATGGAAATGCATCCCTGGAAATGATGGTTCATCATCGGGTCCCCCCTGGCCCTGTGCTGGCAAGGTAAAGAGGCTGTCCTGAATTTTGTAGCAGAGTTAAGCTTGAGTTTGTTCGTTCAACATTACTGAGCACCCACTAAATGCTGGACACTCTGGAAAGGTCTCGAGATTGTGCTGTACAGCATGGCAGCCGTTACCCCACGTGCGAGATTATGACAATTAAGCAAGATGAAAATTCCTAGTCCCACTAGCCCGTTCCCAGGGCTCGTTAGCTGCACGTAGCTTGTGGCTACGTCAGACAGTACAAATAGCATTTCCACCATCCCAGAAGTTGCATGAGGCAGCACTGGTCTAGAATTTGGTAGCACGTGGATAGACCAGCCGGACATAGTGGTTAAGAATGTGGCTTTTGGGGTCGAATCTGGGTTTGGGATTCAGGGATGAACCCTGAATTTCGAGCATAAAAGAAGGCAATGCACTTAACCTGCACTCATCACCCGCTACACGGGGTGTATGCCATCATCATTTTTATCATAATTATCATCAGCATCGTCGCTGTGATTGGCAGGTGGGGTGAGTAGGACATCCAGACAGGCATTTTATCTTCAAATCAGGTTCAGGCATGTTCTTGTTGCTTATGGAGGTTTTCAAAGATGAGGCTGTTTTCCTGCTTAGGTTCCCAACCTCTGCGGTGGTCCCCACCTCTCTCCTCAGCACCACGTTGTAAATCCAAGAGCCTGGACTTGGGGGCCAGCTCTGCCCCGGATCGGTGATGACTGGAGAGGTGGAAGGGGAACTCTAGAGGTAAAATGTAGAGAAGGACGATGGTTGGTTCGAATGCATTTCTGATCTATCCAGGAGAATTGTAGGACTGAAGTAGATTTGAGGAATAAAGCCCTTTCCGAAAGTCACTACAAGACAGGTGCTGTAGTACAGCAGAGAGGAGCTGGCTGGCTGCTTTGGGGGTGTATTTGCTTAAGATATTTCCACCAGGAATCTCATTGTTATGAAGCCTTTTATTACCAGCTGGGTCCTGGAATAGAAGCAGAGGCACCAGCCCCATGGCCAGATCATTAAGACAAATTAAGACATATTAACATATGCTGGAAACAATTACCTACATAGATTTAATTTGTTTCCCTGCTGGAGGAAAACCCCAGGAGGGCACAAAACACATACCCTAGAACAGTTCTGCAGCTACCCTGTGAGCCTGTCACTTGTCAGCCCCTTAGGGGCTGGGAGCCGCTGAAATTAGACATCTACCGAAGGACAGTACGTCTGAAAATACATCCTCTCTTGGACCAGGATTACGTGTGCTGATACAGGTTACCTGGAGTTTTGTTGAATTGCTGATTTTCTTTTTTTTTTTAATCACCTTATTGATATAAATAATTATTTTGGTTTATGAAAATAATGCCCAGAGCTCTGAAATATCAGGATATTAGAGCACATTTTATATTCATATAATAAACTTAGCAAACTTACATATTTGCATTATTGTTTGCTTTTTTTTAAGATTTTATTTATTTATTGGAGAGAGAGTGAGCGGGAGAGCACAGGCAGGGGAGGGGCAGAGGGAGAAGCAGGCTCCCCGCTGAGCAAGGAGCCTGCCCTGGGGCTCCATCCCAGGTCCCGGAGATCATGACCTGAGCCGAAGGCAGGTGGTTAACCGACTGAGCCACCCAGGCACCCCTGTTTGCTCTTTTTTTAAGAGACCAAAGTGAAATAAGAGATAGTTCATTCATTTCCGAGAGATGATTTGTCCTGTCATCATGATGACAGCTTCCCTTCCAGATTTGTCCCATTCATTGAACATGTACAATTATACGTGAGAAGCGTAGTCCCCCGGTCACTTTAAAAAAAAATAGACGGGCCTTTTATAGTGTCAGGAGTGAATATACAAGCTATCTGTGCCTGCTGCTAGCCTACAGGTTTATGGCCTTTCCTTGGGGCTGCCCTGCACTTCAGGCTTTGCTCATGGTTATGGGACCGCTCACACAGGCCAGAGATTCAAGCAGTGATTTTCTGTGATGATCGTTTGGCTCAACATGAGGTTCTCATTTTGGAAATCGGGCAGGATAGGGTCTGAAACCTTCAAATAACAGCTTGCTGAAAGGTGGTTTGCTTGCTTCTCCACATGCCCGTCTTCCAACATAGACGCTATCCAGATAGCTGCATCATTTGGCTCACTTTAGAGAAGCATCTTTACTGGAGGGCAAGGCTTTCTCACAAGAAGGGATATGTGTCTCCCACCTCTACAACTCTTCTCGACGCTCTAGACAACCCTTCCAGTTCCAGGCGACGTTCAGTCATTTTAGAGGCCACCAAAGACCATTTGAGCCTACAGCGAACAGTGTGGCCATAAGTCTCTTAAATTGAAAACTTACAAATTGGAATTCTCTATTTATATCCTACCTCTTGAAGACGGATATTTTAAGTTGTCTCACCAAGCCATCCACGATAAGGTTGTTAACGTAGAAGCGATTTGAAAATCATGAAAAGAAGAAAATGTGCTAGCCAGGATAAATAATGAAATTGCTGTGATTTATTATGGAAGTCGGCTCCAAGACTCTCCAAAGCTCCGGCAATAAGTGGATCATTAAATACATTATGGTATGGTCGTATGACAAGATTATGTAGCTATTAAAATTACCCTCAGGGGGAATTTATAAGAAGAAAATTCTTATAATACAGTATGAATAAGAGAGGGTTAAAAACTGTAGAATTAGCTATGTTTACCAAAAAATCAAGAAAAAATATTGACAGGAAATTCACTACAGCTGATGAGATGGAGTGATTTTTATTTTCCTTCCTTCAGATTATTATCACAAACACATACTACTTTCATAATCACACACCAGAGTTTTCTTTTTGGTTGACTCTGAGCTCCCTGACAGAAAAAGGCAGCTGGGGAAACAATCGTGACTTTTACAATGTTCATTATGTGAGTGAAAGAACCATCTCCGTCCTTCCAAGATCAACTTTTTCTGGATCCTGAATTCCAGAAGGGGTTTATCCTGAAGGCTGTGGGGTGACGTGACATACAAATCTTGACGAAGTTCTTGAAGCAGCTGCTGACCAGGCAGTGGGGTGAGCGGGGGAGACAAGCCTGCCCCTTGCCCGTCTTCCATCTCTATTCCTTGTCTGCAGTTTTGAGGAGCTGATTTGCCCATTGCATCTTAGCCAAACAAAATGTGTGAGATAGGCCTAGCAGGTGCAGAGGACGGCTCTCAGCGCTTTCTTTCACACCTTGAGGATTGAGTGACCTCCAGTCCTGGAAATGACTTCTTTTAAAAACTAATGTAACTTGACTTCTCCCCTCCCCCCCCACTGCAGGTGTAGCTGCGCTGGATTCCAGTGTATCTGGGAAAATTGGTCTGCGTGCCGTCATATATTATTTCTGTACTACTGTCATTGCTGTAATTCTAGGTAAAATCTATTTCTGATTCCTTATTCCTCTGTATAGTGGTGACTTTTCCTTTAAAAGTAGCTGGACATTTTTTAAGGCACTTTTTTTTTTTTTTAATTCAAAAAGTAGTTTGGTCAAACCACCGTGAAGCCTTTGGGCTTAAAGTCTCCCCAGCACCTTTTCTATGAAGAAAATACAATACTGACTAAGGTTCAGCCATGATGCTGCTTATTCATGTCCCTAGAAAGAAACAGAAAGAGGGTAAGAGTTCTGTGCTTTACCAGGTTCACTGGGTGGAAGGAGGTGAAGCCAAGAGCTTATATAATTTGTAAACTGAGTAATTAGTCTGTAATAGTGGAGTTGAGTGTAATTGTGAAATATTTCCAAAACGATGGCATTTCAGTGCATTTCAGATTTCACATGGTACTGGGAGCTCGCAGCGTCTTGCCAAGTATAAATTCCGCTTGAAAAAGGGAGAAGGTTCTAATACGGAACTATCGCTGCTCTTGTACCTTTGGCCTTCTTCTGTGAAGAAAATGCAGTCCGTCCTTTGTGACCTAACGTTTCAAGAAGGATGCCCCGAGTGGGAAGAGAGGCTGGGATGTAGTCAGATGTTACAGCCAGCGTGACCCTGCTGCTGCTTTAATGGATTGTTAAAGGGCACCGAGGAGGGGCTGAACCCTGCCTTAAACCAAAGCCACTTCTCCTCATGAGGTTCCTGAGGGAGGGAGACATGAAGGGAAAAGTTGGTGTATGTCTCTCTCCAGCAACCCTGAGAGGGAAGAGGGAACCACACCCACCATGGTCCTTGCATCGCCCACTGACTCTTCTCACTGGCAAAACTGAACTGCTCAGCGTCCTGAGGTCCTGCCCCCGTGGATTGGCACCCCCCCACCCCCAGTCAAGCAGTCTCTGATGCCTTGATCTGTTCTCCAGCCTCCCATCTCTGCTCGGACACCTCAAAGGACAGGAACCCATTACCTCCAGGGGCCAAAATGGCACTCTCAGATACTCCCTGTTTAGACAGTTCCTTTCGGCAAGAATTATCTCTCCCTGTAATGCCTGTTTGTCCCCATTCCGTCCCCTCAGAGTCACAGGGAATACTACTTTTCCTAACCCTGACCCTTTTTTGGATTAGACAACAGTTTTCCAGATTTTTTAAGGCTTGGGGTATGGAAGGAAGAGAAGGCTTGTTCTGTAGGAGCCTCAGGAAAATAACCAGCATCTGTGGGTAAAAGTTACATGAAGACATTGAGTGGGTGCCCTGAGCTGGAAAAGGAATCACCCTCACCCCAACCCCTGCCTAGGCTGACCTCATAAGCTAAAACAAAGAAAATAGAAAATTCTCATCAGCAGGTGTTTCCAGAAGCAATTCCGGAATGCAGCCTCTTCATTTAAAAAAAAAAAAAAAGGAAAAGTTCCTTCTGCTTCGTTTAAATGGAAAAGTCATTAAGGCCCTGCTGAGGTCCCAGCTGAGGCTCAGCATCTTGGCTGGACCTCAGAGTCCTCATTCCAGTATTGTCTGGTGCCACCATGCCTACTCGTTCTAAGAAGGATGGCGGGAGCGGGGGGCACAGGGGGCGCAGATGTTCTAGAAGGTTCTTAATGCTCTGTGGTACTCTCCTTGGCCACAGGCATCGTGCTGGTGGTGAGCATCAAGCCTGGCGTGTCCCAGAAAGTGGATGAGATTGACAGGACAGGCAGCAACCCCGAAGTCAGTACGGTGGACGCCATGTTAGATCTGATCAGGTGAGTGTCTTGCCAGCCGGGCAGCTCCATGGGCTTGTGAGGCTGCGATCACACGGGACCCATGCTTGCTCCGAGGCTCTGCTCTCGCTGGTTTGAAATTTCTGATAGTTTTTGAATCATTGCATGTGTTCAGTGAGCCCTGCGCCCCAAAATTACATAGCCAGGCCTGCTTGCCCAGAGTGTGGTTCCAAGAGGGGTGGGAGGAACAGGCTCTTCTGTCCGGAATCAGGATGGACAGAGATGCAGAAAGTACCTACTTGTTGCATTAAGATGCTGGACTGGGTGGGGGTCAGTTCTGAAGCACACTTAAAGAAATATACTTTTTAATTGTACAGGAGAAACCCTTTTATCAGAAGCAATCAGGGCTGGAAATTGGTCAGTTAATTTTAAGGGAGTCGTTAAAGCAGAGAATCGTAAAAAAAAATGGCACAGATATGCATGACATATTTTGTTGAGGCTTTGAATGGCATTTATCTGCTGATTTCTGACATAGGGCCATGGTCTTCCCTTCAGGTGTGTCAGTTGATTATAATTTCGTATCATTTCTCTTGCACCTGCTGCCCTTACAAAAGCATCATGTACAGTTTCCAGGTTCAGTTTCCATGAAGGAGAGCAACAAAACCCTCAGAAACTGCAAAGAAAGCTGAGTGCCAGTTTTTCTTTCCATTTCAGTGGCCCTCCCAAACCTAATTGAACCACAGAAATTTTAGTCACTTGCTTTGGTTGAGTTTCCAGGCATTGAGTTTAGCATTTACAAAAACCACACCTTCCGTTTCATAGTCCTGTTCCATCGATTCACGTCATTTGTAATTCAGTAATTACGCTGATAGTTGCAATTGGCATAAAGACCTTGGGAACAATTGCAGTGACTCTTGGTGAGCATACATTCTCATCCATGAACATAGAAGGGGACAGAAGATTAAAGACGTCCCTTGACTGTGAGCGTCCACCTGCCCGTGCTATGTGGCACCAAGGACAATGAGCGTACCAGTTACTCAGTGAATCAGCTAAGTGATGGTTGTTTAAGAGCACTTTCTAGACTTGGTTGCAGCTCAGCATGGGGGGAAAAAATCTTAATCCAAGGAAATATTTGCAAAGGAGAAGCCAGAAGAGAAACCAGAGGACTGATTCTGTGTGCTCCTCATGTTCACCAATGTATTGGGTATGACAGAAACCAAAAACAAAACACTTTTGCCTTAATGTGACACTGCTTTTCATGTCTCCAACAGGAATATGTTCCCTGAGAATCTTGTCCAAGCCTGTTTTCAGCAGGTAATCATAATGACTTTTGCCTCCAGGTTGCTCCCCTCTTCACTTTACCCATTCAGATTTTTATGTCCTGCTATGACCCAGGAACTGGAATGAGCCCATCCCAAATGGCAGGAAATGAACCTATGAATATGCACCTGGAGCCATCGTAGGTGACTTCTCTGCTTCATACCTCTGGTCTTTGGGGCCCCGGAAAGTCCCTGTTGGACCTGACCCAGGCTCCCTTTCCCTGTTTTTGGAGAACCCCGTGGTATTTGCAAAGAATCTTAGATTGTCTGCAGATGCAGCACCCTGCAGAAGCAACCCCGTCTGCTCTCTCCTTTCTCCCTCATGTCGGGAGAGCAGTATCTAACCCGCAGGGGGCTTTGTGTTCCTGGTGTTTGCTCTTTTCCTTAATCCTCGCGTGCTCATTGCCGGCATGCCCCACCCCCCGGCCATGTAACAAAGCCCTGGTTTTTTTCTCTAGGAAAGCCTCACGGTCTCTTCACTCCGTTTCCTTGCTGCCCTTCTCTCTGTCTGTGCACTTGAAGACAGCGGAGTCTATCCCAAACTGCTGAGTTCATTTACATAAATTACACGGACAGAGCCGTCTGTGTATACCAACAAAAATGGCCATGAGCTTGCTCCCTGCCGACCTCCAAGAGGCACAGAACTACCTCTATTTCAAGGTTCAGCCTCAGTGGTCATTTGTAAGGTTCTCAAGGTTGGCAGAGCCTCGGAGGAGTGACGTTGATGCCTGGTGTAATAGTATACTAGCTCTTTCTTAAACCTCTCTGCTGAAGCTCAGCAGAACCCAGCAGAGCTGAAGGAAGGAAATTCAACAGAAATCTCGCTCATGGACTGGCCCTAAACGGGCTGTTGCTTTTGGAACAACCATATAGTTCTTGACATGTACTAAAGTCGTGGTGACTGCATTTAGCGAAGTAATGAGGTTGTTTCGCCCACATTAAAAATAATAAATGAATAAACAAATAGAAACAAAATGATTGGCAGGATCCCTGTAGCGTCTGTTAAAGCTCCTCCAGATAAAACCTATACTTTCTTTCCCGTTATCGCTCTGCTAATTTGTCCCTTCTTATGAAAGAGAACATTCTGACATCATTGAACGGTGGCTGTGGGAATCAGGGTTTGGATTTCACGGTCTCGCTTTTTGCTTCCAAAGCCTCACGGGAGCCAAGAGAGGCGACAGAAGCAGAAGCCTTCCGTGGTACTCATTTAGCCGAAGTAACATATTCCTGTGGTTTAGGCTCAGATGCTTGAAAAGCTATTATTTTGTTTGTTTCTTTGGTCTTCTTTTTCCCTCCAACATGCAGTACAAAACCAAACGTGAAGAAGTGAATACTCCCAGTGAGCCAGGGACGAACATGACAGACGCACCTGTCACGGCCATCATGACAACTGCCATTTCCAAGGTACCTTGTCGCCCGTGCCCCTTCCCCAGTAGGCAGGGGCTGAGTTGTGAGGAGCAAGCAGAAGACGGAAAGACAGTCCTCACTACTTGTGAATTTGTCTACCCACTAAAATGTATTTGTAACCCCCCAAATGAACACGATGCTCCCACGTCATTTGTAGACAGACAAGGAGTGGTAAGAAGTTTAAGTCGCCCAGCACACACATTCCCAGCTGAGGATGAACAGGCTGAGCTCTGCCTTTTTTTTTTTTTTCAAGTAGGCTCCATGCCCAACGGGGGCTTGAACTCATGACCCTGAGATCGAGTCGCATGCTCTACCAACTGAGCCAACCAGACGCCCCAGGCTCTGCCTTCTTGTTTCAGCTCTCTTGTAAACAATTGTTCTTTTAGTGGTGTGTTTATGCCACATTTTTTCACATTTTTGTGCTTTTTTATGATGATTTCACTGTTTAAAATGTCCCCCAAGCATAGTGCTGTAGCGCTGTGTGTGGTTCTCAGGGCCAGAAGGCTCTGATGTGCCAGATAGAAAATACATGTGCCTTAGATCAGCCTCACTCAGGCCTGACAGTGTTGGTTGAGTTCAGTGTTCATAACTGCACAATATATATTAAACATTTATGTGTTCTTTAACAGAAACACACGTAAAGGAAGGTTATAGACCGATTATTGGTTGAAAATGTTGTGAACATTGGTCCCCAGGAACCTGACCTTGTTGTATGTCCCCTAGGAACGAGGATTCAGTATTTGCTAACTCAGTGTTGGTGGGTGACCGCTTTGTAGAATGAGACCACCAAACATTACGAGAAGCAAGTGAACCACACAGAGAAAAGAATGAGGCTTTTTGTCTCTACTGTCCCTGTCACTCCTTTGAGTTGAGTTGGGCACCTCTAGGAGCTGCGTTAGATTTGCAAGACCATGAAATACGGAACACGGGGCCACATCCCTTATCTGAAACTCTCTGCCCAGATGTGATTCAGAGTCCAGAGTTTCCTTTTTTTTTTTTTTTTAAGATTTTATTTATTTGACAGAGAGAGACACAGCGAGAGAGGGAACACAAGCAGGGGGAGTGGGAGAGGGAGAAGCAGGCTTCCCGCGGAGCAGGGAGCCCGATGCGGGGGCTCGATCCCAGGACCTGGAGATCATGACCTGAGCTGAAGGCAGACGCTTAACCATCTGAGCCACCCAGGTGCACCTAGAGTCCGGAGTTTCTCACTCTTGATGCGCCATGCGGTGTAGGCACTGTATGTCATGCAACATGCTGAAATGGGAAATAGGATCAAAGACATCGATAGTTCTGCAGCAGACTCTCGAATATCCTGCCAGATAAGAGAAGTAAACCATAAGTAGCCTCAGTTCAGCTCAGGGTAGGTTCTGCCACCAAGAGTTGGCCATCCTCTCGTCAATAAAACTCCTGGGTTTTGAGAGCTGTTGGAATTTCAGCATTAGAGCCAAGACCGTAGGGCCTGAAGGAGAACCTCTATAGTCCTGTGGTGGATTTCTGCTGAACGTTCTCTGGCACCACACAGACAGAGAAGATTTAAGGAACAAATGTTTGGGAGACTGAGGAATTCCAACTAGATAGCCCGCGGTTGGCTCCTACTTCCTACTGCAGAAGCCTTAGGTCCTCCGGCTGGCTCAGCGGCCCTCCACGTCTGGGCGCCTCCCTGGTTTCCCAGCTCCCCTCCCAGTGGCCCTATCTACCCCATCCAGACCCACCTCCTCCGTTTCTCCTTATTCCCACCTTTGCACGTGATCCCACGAAGATTTTTGCAAGCACCCCGCCATGAGCTAGGCCCTGCTGGGCATTGGGATGCCAATGGAGCAGGTAGGGGTGGCCTCTGCCCTCATGTGACGGGCAATGGCAATAGGGAAGGACAGGGTACTCAGGGGCCTTCAACAACAGAGGCTTAAATTAGTTTGGGGGCCATAAAGGAGGAGTAGGAACTCTCCAGGCAGAGTAGGGCAGCCTGGTGCATGATGACTTTTGCCTCTGCTATGCCATTTTTCTGGAATATTCTTCCATCTCCTGGCCGTCTGCCACTCAGGCTGAGCTCTCCCCAACCCCGTGGCCTCCATTCGGTCTCCACCTGATGCCAGCAACCTGTGGCTTGGCGATGCAGTTAGTTACACACCATCTTGCTATCACTGGCTTGTTTTTCTTACGCTTAATCTTATCTATCTAGCCGTATTTTAAGATTTACCCTGTAGCTGGTGCTGTTAGCACACTCTCGATGCTCGGTAAATATGTGTTTGAGTATATCAGATTATAAGTAAAAAAAATGACGGGCACGCCAGGAGCTTCAACCATTTATAATACTTTGTAAAGCTGGCTTGTACGACTCCAGTTCCGTTATCTCCCTGTGATATCTACCAAAGCGCTTGATCAGCTTGCACCCAACTGGCATTTATCTATGCCTATGAAATCGCTCAGTAAATCTCACGCTGCCCCACTCAGATGAAGTTTTTTTCAGCATCACTCATGCTGTTCTTACCCAGGATAAGGTGAAGAAATGGTTCACGGTAGCAGCTGTTTGGTTAATATTTACATCTCTAAAGTCCTTCTGGTCATCCAAGGTTAGGCAGTAAAGAATGTTTCTGTGCTTCACTATCAGGATAAAACAGATAACATAAAAATGTTCACCGTAGTAAATATTTTGCGCTCCCTGCATTATTGAATGCCTGTCTTTTTCACGCAGACTCCAAACGTAGCTAGTAGTTCAAATAACCTCAAGAAGTGCCTTGATTCTAAAGTTCTTTTGAAAAACGTAAGACATCCCAGAATAAGAACTCTTCAAAAGAAATCTTCAAGTTTGGGTTTTTTGAGAAAGAGAACCAAAAAATCACTTTAAACTTCCACGGCAGCGGGCGGGGGCGGGGGGGGTACAGACTTGATACATGTGTAGGTGGTTTGTTGTTGTTTCCTCCGCAAGTGCTGTTGACTCCGACTGGTAGATTTACTGACTTACTGCATTGGCTGTCGTATCTTCTCATTTCAGGGCCTCTGCCTTCCAACAAAATTATAATCATGCGTTAATATATTCTCTTGGTTTTGATCCGCAGAACAAAACACAGGAATCCAAAATCGTAGGCATGTATTCGGACGGCATAAATGTCCTGGGCTTGGTTGTCTTCTGCCTCGTCTTTGGACTTGTCATTGGAAAAATGGGAGAAAAAGGGCGGATTCTGGTGGATTTCTTCAGTGCTCTGAGTGATGCAACCATGAAGATCGTTCAGATCATTATGTGGTGAGCAGATGCCAGTGAATGCCATCTTGCTTCTCCTGACAATTGTCCCCTCAAAGTTAGAATAAAGGGACCTATGTTTCTCCACTGACCTCACCCTAGGAAGGATGAACACGGAATGTCGAGACACTACAGTGGTCGGTAATTCTACGTATTACTCAGGAGTTAGTTGACAAACAAGAATCTGAGTATCAGCCATTGCCTGTTCTACCAAAGCCCTTGGTCAGCTTGCACCCAACTGGCATTTATCTAAGAAATAACTCTTAAAATAATGACTTGAAGGGGTTCCTGGCACGTCAAAACTAAGTGCTTTCCTTGTTAGGCCCATTGCAGAAGTGATATTCAAAATACTTGCAACTGTATTTCGTTTCCATCCAAATGAAAGCTGCCATTTGGATGAGAACACACCAGCAGCACCACCTGAGTATCTGCCCTGTCCCTGGAGGGGCCAACAAGTCTGCCTTTTCGAGGTGATCTCTGCCCCCACTTACCTCATATTGAGTTGACTCAACACTTTTTACTCTGAAGTGTAGACATTGACAGTGGTTTCGGCCACTTACTCCCGCTGAACCTCAGCTTCATCATGTGTAAAAAAAGGATAATAAAAGTCTACCCCTCGAGGTGGGAAAAGTACATTAAGGGAAATGATGCATGTCAAATACTTAACCCAATACAAGGCAGGCAGTAAGAGCTCCACAAAAAGAGCTGTTATGACCACTTCCACGACTAAGTGTATTGCTCTGTGGCTGATAGTACTACAAGACAAGATGACCCAGGCTAGAAGGAGCGTGGTGGCCGTATAGGGAGGGTCAGGCAAAAATGAGATCTGCACCCGGGACCATCGGCAGGACGTATGTGCCTCGGGAGCATGGCACAGGTCAGGCCCCTGTTTAACCACACGTTCTTGCCAAGTTCGCTCACCCAAGGTAGCTTAGGTGGGTGGAATTGAAGGTGCACGCACAGGCACTAAATCCTGGCTCCAGTGTGGTCCACCAGAGCCTGAGCCCGAAACCTTAGCCTCATTGTGAACCAGGTGCTCCTCCCAGCCGAGCGCATGTGCCGAGCCGAGGTGCACGCCCTGGATTGTTTCCTCCCCAGCAATCCCACCTCGAGGAGACACCTGATGACGGAAGTGTCTTTGCTGTGCTTACATTCTAGTTATATGCCACTCGGCATTTTGTTCCTGATTGCCGGGAAGATCATAGAAGTCGAAGACTGGGAAATATTCCGCAAGCTGGGCCTTTACGTGGCCACCGTCCTGAGTGGGTATGGCAGACTCGAGAGAGGAAGCGGGAACTGTGTTTGAGCTGCTGGGTCGCTGCTGAGAAGCTGTGTTTCAGTTATAATTGGCTTCTCCCTCGTGCTGAGGAAGATGGGGTTCAGAGATAAGAGAGCAGGGTGGGGGGGCTGCCCTTTAACAGCTGTACTGGGGGAGGATCACACTGTGCTAATTGCCAGATCTTGGCAGAACAGCCTGGACCATGGTTTACTGCTGCCTTTATTAGTTGTGTTAAGATCCTTTATTGAAACGAGCAGAACCCACTGGAAGCCTCTCTTGGCATTCACTTCTTCAAGGATGGAAACTCACCAAACTTGTAAGAATAGCCCACAAGGACCACAGCCCCAAGAAAGAAATCAGGCAGGGCCTGAATGAAATGAGACTCGAGCAAGTAGGAGCGAGTGGCCGGTTGGTTCCAACCCCGTTGGTGGGGCTGGGCACTGCTACCATGCCCAGTACCATCCGAGTGTCAGAGAGGATGCTGGGAAAATCTTCAGGCTGGGACGAACTGGGTAAAGCAGGGAGGCAGCAGGGGACAGGTCATTTGCATATTTATTGCAGCCCAGTTATTGGTTCCTGGAGGGGAGGTAGGGTGAGATAAGTTAGGAATGGTGCCCCTGGATATCTAGCAGGGGCAGGATACGTCACATGTGCTAAGAAATATGGACCAAGGGAATGAATAAACATCATCAACACTCCCACAGGTCAGTGCCCCCAAACACCCACCTTGAGCAGTGAGCTTACCTGTTGGAACTTGAGTTCCTGGGGAGTCCATCTGTGTTTACCTAAAGCACAGCCCTTCCAGCCAACGAGAAGAAGCCTGGGTGTCCACAATGGGAGGGCCAGCATCCGATCCCAGGGCCCTAGCCGCACGGGAGCAGGGCTGTCTACCCTTCTAGAGGCCAGGGCCTGTGTCCAGGGAGTGATTTGGCTGAGGTTTATTATGCTGAGCCATTTTAGAACACATTTCTGCTGGTTCCTGTTCAATTGTCCTACCTGGGTTTCTAACAGAAAACTAAATTTCTCCTAGTTCTTAGTCACATGCCTGCTATCTAGAAGACCCCCACGATGGATCTTCAGGATCTGTATTTTCAATGGCCATTTCTTACTTCAGCTTTAAATAACTGATCTGTAAACTCTTACATGGCACCTGCTGGATCGATCTCATTTTTTAAGCCCCCTGTTTTGTGTAACCTGTATATTCCTACGTGAAACAAGGAGTCGTTTCGGAAGGCAGGAACAACAAAGAAAAGAGGGTCAATCCTGAAGTATGACTATAGGAGAGCAGGGACTCGCTCCTTCCTGCAACCTGCCTGCCCTCTTGGATGGTGGACACCATCCAGCAGGACAGCAGTGTGCTCCAGGGAACAGAGGGGCTGGGTGTAGGATGAGGGTTTCTGGTAGCACTGTGTGTGGAGCCACAGAGCTGCCAAGAAGGAAAGGTCCACTCGACCTAGGGAGGTGAGGGAAGGCTTCCTGGAGGAGGGGGGAACCTTTTGCTGAGTCTTAGAAGAGGGGTAAGGATTCAGCAAGCAGAAGGAAGTGAAAGTACCTTAGCACCTATTGCAGGAATAGCACATACAGGGCTTGGCAGTGTGACATACGTGTTCTGTGAGCTCTGAAATGTGGATTCAGCTACTGGCTGCACCACTTTGACAAGACACTTCATTTGCTAGGTGAGTCTCCTCATCCTCATTGGTGGAATGTAGACATATATCCCTGCCGTACTTCTCATTTTCTTTTGGATCATTATGGAAATCAAGTGATCTATCATGAATTTTTTAAAAAGCTCTTTGGAAAAAAGGATTAATAGGAGGTGTGTCCTCTATGCACCTGCTTCTCTCTCTTGTTTTCAGACTCGCGATCCACTCCATCGTCATCCTCCCACTGATCTACTTCATAGTCGTACGGAAGAACCCTTTCCAGTTTGCCATGGGAATGGCTCAGGCTCTCCTGACAGCTCTCATGATCTCTTCCAGGTGAATAGTGGAGGGGTGTCCGGGAGAAGTCTCTGGGCCACACCTTGTCAGCTCTCACCGGTCACACTTGAGAGCTGTCCCGGCCACATATGAAGCTGAAGACTTAGTAGCTGCCTTTAACTCAAGAAATGACCTCTGTATTCTCTGCCCGTGTCCTTGAATATTTCTGCCCCCTGCTGGGCATTTCCTGCCCTCGTGGCACGGCCTGCAGCCCAAGAATGGGTTATACCATAACCTGGAGCAGCGGCAGACCCAGCACATTCTCATTCCTGGACCTGCCGAAAGTGCCAGCACGCTTTGGGCTCTGGGTTTGGTTTTTGGCAATGAAGTGTCTCTTCAGACAGGGATTGAGCTCCGGCGTTAGACCATAGGTTCCTTTCTCTTTCTCTCTCACAGTTCTGCCACACTGCCAGTCACTTTCCGCTGTGCTGAAGGAAAGAACCAGGTGGACAGGAGGATCACCAGGTTCGTGCTGCCCGTGGGGGCTACGATCAACATGGACGGGACTGCCCTCTATGAAGCAGTGGCGGCCGTGTTCATTGCACAGTTGAACGGCCTGGACTTGGGCATCGGGCAGATCATCACGATCAGGTAGGGCACAAGGTCGCACTCGTGCTCATTTCTGTTACTGGAATTGTCTCAAGGAAAAGTTGCCTGTGGGGGAAAGAAAATAAATCGCCTGTGAAGGGAGATCAGGAATGGTCCACTGGTGGATTGGTTTCCTTGGTCTACAAAGCCCCTCCCCAAGATTACACACAACTTTATTACAGGAGGTGGAGTCGGTAGGGTTTCTGCTTCAGGGTCTGGAGAGCCGAAGGCATCACTGTTCTCGGTTCAGCATGCCCGCTGGGTGCTAGGCACACAGCAGATACCAAGGATTCAAGGTAGAATAAGACCCAGTCCCTGCTTTCAGGGGGGTCCCCAGTATGTAGGGGGATCCGGATATCTAAGCAAATGGTGGGGGGTGTGGTAAGAGCTATCATGGAGGTTTGAGGGGGCACGGAGGGCACCAAAGAAGGAAGGGAAAGTGAGGAGAGGCTTCCCGGAGAAGGGGAAGGTTTAGTTACGGTTCAGAAGAAGAAGAATTTAGTAAGAAAAGAAGGAACCCAAGAGCATCTGGGGTAAAAGGCTAGCTCGTACCGGGGCCCGTGGCATAACCACGGCCTGGTTACAGAGGACAGATTGCCGGATGTGGCTGCGTAGAGTGCGACGTGGAGAACGTGGAGAAATGAGGGCAAGGATCATCTCATGAAAGCTTCATGGGAGGCGCTCATGGAAGAGGCTCGGACAGTCTCTCATCACATGGACGCATTTGAATTTTTAAAGGATAACTTGGCAGTACGGGCGGTGGACTGGATGGGGACAGGAACGCAAGCTGGAAGACCAGTTGGGAGACTACTGCAGAAGTCCAAGTGAGGAATTAAAAGGCCTACATCAGGGGCGCCTGGGTGGCTCAGTCGGTTAAGCGTCTGCCTTCGGCTCAGGTCATGATCCCAGGGTCCTGGGATCGGGCCCCGCATCGGGCTCCCTGCTCCGCGGGAGTCTGCTGCTCTCTCTATCCCTCTGCCCCTCCACCCCACTGGTGCTCACTCTCTCAAATAAAATCTTTAAAAAAAAAAAAAAAAGCCTACATCAAGGCGCTGTCACTGAGGATGGAGAAGAGCTAACGAATTCAAGAGGCATCTGTTGGATTCAGAGTGAGGGATGGGAAGGGGGGCGGTTGGGATGACCTCCAGGATCGGCAGATGGTTCTGGACTGGCTAATGGTGATTACCAGAATGGGACAGACTAGTGAAAGAGAAGCAAGCACAGGTGGGAAAATAAAGAGCTTATGCTTTTTGCCACGTTGAATTTGAAATGCCTTCAGGACATCAGGTGGAACTCTGCAGTGAGAAATGTGCAGATATGACTGTCAGAGGCATCGGGGGAGGGCGGTCATCAAGCACATGATCGTGAGTCAGTCATCCATGTTTGAGACTTAGCTTCCCCGTGATTAACGGTGACCTTGGCCGAGGTACTTGAATTCTATAACCTTCTGTTTTCTCACCTGTAAAATATGGATAATAAGAGTGCCTACGTTTTATGCAAGTAGTGATAATTAAGCCAGTGCACGTAAAATGCTTCAAACAGTGTGTACATAGTGGGCGCTCGGGGGATGCTGAGAATGTTGGGATGGTGTTGCGTCGTAGAGAGGGTCTGTGCCAAAGAGAAGACGACTAAGAACGGAGCCCTAGAAAATCCTGATGTTAGAGGCAGGCAGGGGGGGGAGAGCCAAGAGGGAGACCGAGAAGGAACAGAAAGGTAGGGACAGCCATCACATCATGGAAGCCCAGAGAAGAGAGATTTCCAAGGATGAAACACTCAACAGAGCCTGATACTGCGGAGAATTCTACTCAGATGAAGACCGAAATTGTCTACTCAAGTAGATGCTGAAAATGTCATTAATGAATTTTGCCAGCGTCGTTGCTCTAAAATAGTCCTGTCCAAGATGGTAGCCACCAGCCGCACACAGGTTGGATTGGACCGAGCAGACACACACAGGAGGTTCCATCGTTGTAGAATTAGGTTCCGTCACGGAAGATTCTACTGGCCAGCGCTGCTTTGCAGGGATGGGTTGGGTTTAGAGCTAATTCATTCAGTTTAGAGTGGAAGTTCACAACTAAACTGGGTCCCGAGGCCTACACAAGGCTGAATCTGGCCTTTCCGAGTTAACTCACTCTTGCATCCCCGGTACTTGGCACAGGCGTAAACTGCAGGCATAGAGTAGGTTCTAACAATGTTCTAATATGGTATATTTTTAAGTCTTCCCCAACCCTAAATCATAAAGTACTTAGTGCCGTTAGCTTGAAGCTAACTGAAGACAAATGCCGACTAGACCATTGGCACATCAGCTGGGAAACTCTCTGTACTGCGTGGTCTATAAAGTGTCCGTGGCTTAAGAGCTGAAAGAACTTGAGGACAGTCCTGTAGTTTGAACAGCAGTGAGTGCGTTAAAATCGAAACCTTGCATCGTGCCTTAGAAAGCTCCACAACCACCTGGGGTCCAGTGCTTGTCACTTTGGTCCTTCCAAGTACCCTTGGCCACCTCCCTCACCGTGGCCTGTGGGGACCCAGTCTGCCCTGGACTGATTTCCGAGAGGTGCCCGTTGGTTTGGGTATTTGCTGCTTCGTGGTGAAGCCCCTCCCCCTCCCTCAGTCATGAGTTCCCTAGATCTTTCTAACCTTGTTTTTTTGTTAACCTGACTGCTAGACAAATAAACTTTGGGCAGAGAGGCTAAATAATTCACATCCAAACCTGTCCCATCCCCACCCCCGGCTCTGGTGTATTTTTTTTTTTTAAGATTTTATTTTTAATTAATCTCAACACCCGACATGGGGCTCAGACTCACGACCCTGAAGATCAAGAGTTGCACGCTCTCCCGACTGAGCCCGCCAGGCGCCCCTGTATCCTTAAATCAGACTTGCTGATAAATAACCACTGGCCCAGAGCCAACAACCACAACTGTGAGGCCCAGAGTAATCACTGACCTAAAATTTAAAATCCTCTTTGGCTCTGCCAGGGACAGAATGAAATAATAAACATGGTTTTTCCCTTCACAAGTTACAGTTGCGGCTCATGCGGCTGATGGTTAGAGACCCATGGTTCATCTCCTTCTGTGGCCCGTTTGGCCCGACATCAAAGAAACTTAGGCACCATCCACCCAAGACAAACCCTTATGTGGTTTTATCGTTATATTCAGTAATCAAAGGTTACGACTGATTGAAAATAGGATAAATATGCTTAAAATGAAAGATGATGACTGGATTTGGGGCCTAGAGGAGGAAAGGAGCAGTTGTGGGGTTCTGTAGCAATGAAGGGTGATCCCGGGGGCGGCGCAGGTGGGACTAGCGGCTGCTGACGTAGCAAAAGTGGCCTCAGTGTGGAAGCATCCGACGCGGCCAGGTGCTATCCCGGATGCCTCCACATCCTACCTCAGTTCATCTTCATGACGCCCCGCGACATAGTCTCCCCATCCCACAGGCAAGAACTGAGATCCAGAGGGAACTTGCCTAAGGATGTGCTGCTACTGAAAACAGGTCTTTCTGACGCTCAAACCTCTGCAAGCTTCAGTTCACACCCCAGGCCTAGCCTCGATGGGACCTGAGCTAAGTGTCCTGTCTGAAAACTAGATCTCAATGCCAGGAAAGAACTTTCTACCGGTGATTATTTTGTGTTCGTCTGTGAAAACCCTCTAAAGACAAAGTCGAATATATTCAAGCCAAAGGAATAGGTTTTTATATTTTTCCCCCTTCTGAAGATTTATAGTTCCCAGTCTCAGACCAAAGCCAGCCAAATGGCTGAAGTTTAGGAAGCAAGGTCAAGGATCCAGGGCAGAGTTTTCTTTGACAAAGTGGGTTTTGAGTTTCGAGCCCAGCCACAGGCTAGAGGGACGTGGTTAACCGTGATGTGTTAGGACTTCCAAAAGGGATCCGTGGTCATGGGCACAAATCACTTCTGGCAGAGAAAACCCACTGTTGCATTCAGTTTGAATTTTTTTTCAACCAGCATTGAAATAAACTTAGGTTTTCCAAAGAGTACTTCAGTCAGAACAGATCTAAAGGATTCTGTAGGCCTGAAACATTTCGAGGAATTGGGACAGCCCAGAAATCTTTAATTTACTGTGAATTGGTGGCCACAGCCGCTGAAAGAAAAGACACTTGTCGAAGAATGCTGGCTTTTGCTTGACTGTACCCTCCAACACCATCTGCAGCACATGAATGAGTCATGGAATCAGCTTCGTTCGAACTCTGAGGCTTTTGAGCCCACAAGAATATAGATTTGTGGACAGAATCAGGGATTCTTCTAGTTTAAATGGACATTTTCTACATCTTCACCTTTCAACCCAGTGGCCTCCTTGGCCTAAGGATGAGAATAGGAGTCCAAAACGTAGAGTGGGTATCCTTTCAAGTTCATTCAAAATTCAGGGGCTTCTCAGGGCATGGTGAGCCCTTGTTTCCTCCAAAATGACCAGACCTATTTTTTTTCCTTTTTTTAATTTCAATTCAATTAATTAGCATATAATGTACTATTAGTTTCTGAGGTAGAGTTCAGGGATTCATCAGTCGCATACAACACCCAGTGCTCATCACATCACACGCCGTCTGTAATGCCCATCCCCCAGTTACACCAGCCCGACCCACCTCCCCTCCAGCAACCCTGTTTGTTTCCCTACAGTTAAGAGTCTCTTATGGTTTGTCTCCCTCTCTCATTCTGTCCTGTTTGATTTTTCCTCTTCCCCTATGATCCTCTGTTTTGTTTCTTAAATTCCACATATAAGTGATATCATATGATAATTCTTTCTCCAATTGACTTATTTTGCTTAGCATAATACCCTCTAGTTCCATCCACGTTGTTGCAAATGATAAGATTTCCCTTTTTGATGGCTGTATAATATTCCAGTGTGTGTGTGTGTGTGTGTGTGTGTGTGTGTGTACCACATCTTCTTTATCCATTCATCTGTTGATGGACTTCTAGGCTCTTTCCATATTTTGGCTATAGCCGACATTGCTGCTATAAACTTTGGGGTGCACATGCCCCTTCAAATCACCACATCTCTGTCTTTGGGGTAAATACCTAGTAGTGCAGTTGCTGGATCATATGGTAGCTCTGTTTTCAACTTTTTGAGGAATCTCCATACTGTTTTCCAGAGTGGCTGCACCAGCTTGCATTCCCACCAACAGTATGAGAGGGTTCCCCTTTCTCTGCATCCTTGCCAACATCTGCAAAATGACCAGATTTAAATAAGGATGATATTTTCGATGAAAACCAGCGCATTCCAAAGGGAAGAATCCCTAGTGCCACATGTTATCTGCCCAGGAGGGATCTTTTTAAATACACAGTAATGAGGTTCATCTGACTGCCTCTCTCGGTTCCAGACCTCGCTTCCATTTGCAGAAAGTGCATCCACTGGCAGAATGGAGCAGTCAGGAATAAATGCTTGTACCTCGGCCAGGAGGCATGGCTGTCCCTCAGTTCAGTGCCATGGAGGGCAGCTCCAGAGGCCAGGAGCCTTGTGATGTCAGGAAAGTGCATAAAACCTGCTTGATCGCTGCCCCCTTCCTTCGCCTTCACCTGAAATACGCTTCCCATCTACATGTATACCCTCCCTCAGACCGGCCGTCAAGGCAACATCACCTCCGGGCATATGAGATGCCAATGAGTGATTGGCCGTGTGAGTAGTTGGACACAGGGAGAAGGAAATCAGGGAGAGAGGTCACTGGCACCTGTTGAAGATGATGGATGCCTGCAGGGGTCTCTAATGCCTTCTGCGCACACCCCGGTTGGTGGACTCCTGCCTTCCTCTTGAATATCCCTCTTGCCCGTTCTTTGCCCCTCAGGCAGTTCTTCCCTTCCTGGCAGACAGATTTGCTGTATCTCCCCCCACTGGAAGGAGATCGACACCCCCCCCCCGGCCCCCCACAGCTCTCCAGTGAGGCCGAGCTGATGCTCAGCAGAGAACAGATTCTACCCGGCCCATCTGGGGACACAGCGATAACAGCCAAGGGGACTAACGGTTTTGGGGAGGAACAGGTGTCTAACTCCTTCTGCGCCGCTGTGTTTTGGCTGCAGTGTCACAGCCACGGCCGCCAGCATCGGAGCTGCCGGGGTGCCTCAGGCCGGCCTGGTGACCATGGTGATCGTGCTGAGTGCTGTGGGGCTACCTGCGGAGGATGTGACCCTAATCATCGCCGTTGACTGGCTCCTGTGAGTTTGGGGTAGACGCAGTGCCTCGGCCGGCTGGGCAGGCGGGCTTCCCAGCCCTGCAGAGTCTGCAGTCTGTCGCCATCCTCTCCTCACATTGCCTGATGCGCCATCTGTTGCCGCTTTAATGTTCCTCTGACCAGGCCATCTGATAACATGCTTAAAAATTAACTCGTTAATTCTGGCGGTGATTTTTAAAAAGGCCAGTGCTCTCCATTAGTGCATTTCTACCTGCTAATGCTCAAGGATAGGAGGTGGGTGTGGGGGGAGACACGCATAAAATACTAAGGTGAGGAAGCTGGACAAGGTCCCGGACTTTCCAGACCCCAGAGGCTCCCCTCACCTCTCTGGGCCCTGGGTCAGCCTCACTGGTTTAGAACTGCCTGGTTCAGAGGCAGCCCATCTCCCCGAGACCTTCAGCATCGTCAGGGGCGGGGGCACGAACAAAGGCTTTGGGGTCAGACGGGCTTGAGTGTGAATCCCTGTTCAGTGTCTCAATGGCTGTTTGGCCTGGAGCAAGTTCCTTAGCTTCTCTGAGGCCCAGTTGCCTTATCTGTGAGATGGGAAAGGTTCTGCATATTTCATTAGGTGGGTGCAAGGACTGAGTGAGCTGATGTGAGCACAGCGTCTAGAACAGTGTCTGGCGGCCGATATGTGCTCAATAAATGGCAGGTTTTATTGTTATGATTAGAATGGACAGTTCACGTCTCAATCGACAGCTCTCTCTCTCACATCCACACACATGCACAGGTGCGTGCACGCGCACACACACACACACACACACACACACACACACACACACACACAGGGCTGAGGAACACAGCAGAACATCTGGGCAGGAATATGCCTTGTGTGACCCCCCCCCGCAAGGTTCAAGTTAGAATGAACCTGGGGTCCCTGGCTTTGTCCTTAATACCCACTCTGTGCATTGGTCTTCCTGCATCGAGGCCTGGCTCTGTCCCCTGGCCATCAGGGGGCACGCATGGCTCCATGTGGAGCCTTTACTCAGAACCAGCCCGGGGTTCCCGGGGCATACAGTGCTGGGTGGTTTGCAGGTAGTAGCTGACATGATGAAGATACAGTCACCCCCCAGAAGGCAAAAGCTCCAGAAGGCAGGCTGTGTAAGGCCCCCCAGCAGCTGGCTGGTTCTGCAAGCCCCCAGCTGAGGTGGCCCCTTTCTTGCCAGGATACCCTCTCACTGAGGCAAGTGCTTCGAGTTTTCTTTCTAGTGATGAGGGTGGGTTTGCACTTGTCTCCTTTTCCCGATTCGTCCTGGAACCGGTGACCTTCAGTTCCAAGATACCGAGAGAAGTCAAAGGTCCGGTCTGGTCCGTGGGATGAAAAGACACTGGTTGGTTCATACCAGGGTCTAGTTCAATCCATGGCCTCATTCTAGATCACAGCAGGGCATCCAGAATGGGGCTAGATAAACACTGTTGGCCTCTTCTGTCCTGCAGAGGTCGTTCTCATGAGAAAGTGTTCACGTGCACACTTGTTCCCAGCAGTGCCCCACGGTCCTCTCACCAGGATGCCTTCCCTGCTGCACACCTTCCTGCCGCAGCGTCTCCTCCAAGCCGTCTGGGAGTTCAGGCCGGCCCAGGGTGCCACAAGGAGGAAGCCACTCCTCAGCTGGTCCGAGCTTTCTGGGCCTGTGCTCTGTGGTGTCCCTGCTGGCTTGCTTGTAGAGTGACGCCATGTGGCAGAGAAATGACTGTACCAGGGACACAAACACACAGAGACACTCGGCTGCACCCACAGACACACACTCCCCCTCAGCATGTACACCACCCACAGGATGCCCTCTACTTAGCCAAGAGCGAACCTGGAAACACCCCAAGACAGAGGGTAGGTGTGAGAGGCTTGTTCAATTCTGACTCTCCCTCAGCTCCCCCAAAATAGCTGCAAAGACTATTCACATTTGTTTGGGAGGGGAGGATGGAATTTTGGGACACTGGTGCTGGATTTAGGAGGGTCATTGTGACTTCCTGGGAGCACACACCCGGGGAGCCCGTTTGCTCATTCTGTACTTCTGTGAGACCCCTTCTGCCCCAGGCCTGTGAGGAGAGCAGCCTCTGATCCAGCCACGAGGATGGCACTTTCTCTGTTTACTTAATTCATACCTGAATGCTTCAGATCCTTTTCTCTCTCCAGTGGCAACTGGAACTGAACTGCAGGCCTCCTGTCTCTCTGTTCCCCAGGGACCGGTTCAGGACCATGGTGAACGTCCTCGGTGACGCGTTTGGGACAGGCATTGTGGAGAAGCTGTCTAAGAAGGAGCTAGAGCAGATGGATGTTTCATCGGAAGTCAACATCGTGAACCCTTTTGCCTTGGAATCCACAATCCTGGATAACGAAGACTCAGAAACCAAGAAGTCCTATGTCAACGGAGGCTTCGCCGTAGACAAGTCTGACACCATCTCGTTCACCCAGACCTCACAGTTCTAGGATCCCTGGCTTCACAGGACCAGGAATGATGAAGAACAGCTCCATGAGAGTCATCTCTTAGCAAGTTCAAACATTAAATAGCGAAGAGAAGAACACTAATGGCCAACTGTACATTTGATTTGATATATAGACTTCCAGATTATTTTCTATATTTGGATTCACAGCTTTCACTCTCCGGGTTCTGGGATTTGGGGTGGGGTAACATGAAAGAAAATAGATTAAAAGGAAAGCTGGATCCATGTCTGGATTGTAAAAATTCTATGAGAGACAAAGTTTGGAAGCAGATGGAGTAGTAACTGTTGGATTAGGACATGGATGTGAAAGAAAAATTGCTTTCTCATACCCAGTCCAGTGTTTTAGGTTTTTAAAAAAAAAAAATACTCTTGTTGATTACAAATTTTTACTCAAGCTTTCTATTGGCATGGATTTCCTTTGACCTCTCACATTTTTCTAGATTAGAATACATATAAACACCTCTCCCCCATCAACGTGCCAAATTGTCCATTTTTAACTCATCTCCAGCCAATTTCAAAGTAACCGCTTTGAAAGAAAACAGACCAGCACAGTTCTGCAATCAGTGTTTTAAGCTGGGCGTGGGGTTTTGTGGGAAGGGTTCTTTCTTCAATGTACTGTATTGGGACACTGGTAACTAGTAACCCAGTGTTCAGTATAGAGCTAAATAGATAGATGTGTATATATTTATTATTTTCATATAGGTTGCCAGAGATCAGAATTGAACTGTCAATGTGAAATAAAGAGCTCTCCTTGTACTTGAATAATAACTACGATCTCAATCCAGATCTGCTTTGGGACTTATCCATACTCCTGCCTCAGGAGCACGAGATTGAAAAATCATACTGTCTGATTATTCCACCTCTGTGTGTCAGCCTCAAAGCAGACATGTCTTAGGGTGATACTCCAAGGTGGCATTGCCATTCATCTACAACTCCCAGGCTCTACTGCTGGGAGGGAATCCATATCAGCTCTATGTAAGATGGTATACAAAGGCGTCACGCACATAAGGCTGGATGTGTTTTTATCCAGCTGGACGGCTTCATTCTTCCAAGGTCAATTATACCCACTTAAACATGACAGGACTTCACCCTTTTGTACCTCTCAGGGCCCAAACCACAGTGGCAGGCTACCAGCTGAGTTGTATTTGAACATGGGTTTGATGGATTGAACAAGTCACATTGGCCAGAAGAAGCACGGTCCCTACCCTGGATTCTTGCAGAGTTAAGTCCCACAATATGAGACATTGGTTATCAGTGGTTCAGGGAAATTCTTCCATTGTATGAAAACTCGTCTCCTCCTCAAGGGGGGATTGTTCCAACTAGTAGTCTAGTCATCTCGGCCCTGCTCCTTACCATCCGTTTCCTATCATTCTTCTGCTAATTTATGAAGATAGTTTATTAAAAATCTGTGCTTCAGCTCTCATCTTGTAAATAACACAACATAAAAACTTGTATTTACACTGAGATCCAAAATAGTCCCATTTCTGCAGTATCGAGTAGCCAATTTCAGCCTGTGCTTTAGTATTTAAGAAACCAGACACTGTGCCAAAGATCATGGGAAAGTAAATAAATGTTCACTATTGACCACCCGTACCTGAAATCTAGAAGAGAATGATACTGGATTGTTGTGCAAACACCATAAATATGGACCAGTGATTGAATGTGAGTTTTTAAAATGCAAATATCGATGGTGTGCATTGGAAGTCGATCTAAATGTCGACGCAGTTGAATCCATCATTTGTCAGGGGCTGAAATGTCTTACCCCTTGGCCTTGGCTCAGATTTGAGGCACAAGAGCTGGCAGAGCTGTCCGTGAGCTGCAGGTCATCCTTATTTTGGAGCAAGTTTATAACCAGCGTCTTAACACACTGTGCTGTTAACTCATAAAAGAGAACAATGTTCCATTTCAGTCTCAATAAATACTTCCGTCCCTCCTCCTTGCCAGCCTTGTTGTTCCTTTATCTATTCTTTCATCTCACTTACTCAGAGGGGGTGTGGGAAGGTGGAGACATGGTCAGTTGACTCAGATGGGAAACGGATTATTGTTTTCAAAACTGTTTACACTCAAAGATAATAAAGCAGGGCTTGAGGAAAAGTAACCTGATTCTTCACGTGAATCCGTGGGGATGACAAGGCTGAAATAGTGCCCTAAATGAGGTACAGTTCGTCCGTATTTTATCACTGAGAGGAAAGGGATGGTATAATTTGGCTAGAAATTCCTATACTGGGAGGGAGTCTTATCTCCATGTGATGGTGCCCTGGTTTCACAGGAGGACAAGTCCTGCCCTCTGAGATGTGCCTGCGAACGACCAGTGCTGTATTAAGGGATGCCATAGTCCTGCCCGGAACCTGTGTCATGATGGGGTCCTGCTGGTGGACTCACTTGTCTATGACAGACAAACAAACAAATGGACAACTCCCTACCCTACTGAGAGAGGACAGTGTCACAGAAAAGCTTATCACTACCTGGCCAGACTAATTCAGGACAGCTACCTCTTCAGGTGACACGGGATAAAACACCCAGCACCACAGCTACTCAGAGACTTGTTTGGAAGAGTTAATACGCCTGAGCAGGGCCCCCCCTATGACTTTGATCTTGCCCAGAGTATACTCATGTACAGAGGAACAGTGTTATCAGCTCTAATAAATGACTATTCCTCAACAAATCTTTGTGAGCCCACTGGGTACAAGGCCCTCTATTAAAAACACACCCCGTTCGGAGAGCTTGAGAAAACTGGGCTTGGCTTATAGTCAGGCAGTGAGCCAGCAATGGTGTTGGCTTTGCAGGTGTTAAGAATCTTCCCTCCTGGAACAGAAAGAGGAAATGGTCCTGCAGAGCCCTGGTAGAATGCCAAGAAGATTCTATGCAACAGGATCGATATTCTGTATTCTCTAACTGCCCAGCAGGGCAGCACAGAAACCAGTGAGTGGGCACACAGCCCTGATACCTAATCAGCCCTGGGACTCTTGCCAGTGATCTAAGCCTTGGTTCTTACCCTGTGAAATGAGGATAACAAATCTCGTCTCGTGAGACTAAGTATTTGATGAGAAAATGGATGTGATGCATTTAGCGCATAATATGTTCAGTAAATGCTAGTACCTCTTGCCCCCAAAAAACACCATACACTCTCACCCCCCATTCGCATGGGTAATCCACAGACATGCAGCTTCACAAGTTCAGAAAAGTTTTAGGGCCCTTGCCACTGACATGGCTGAGGACTATAGCTCACACCCCTTGGCCTTATTACCTGGGTTATTAGAGCAAACAGTAAATCCAACCTAGTGAGACTTAGTAAGCAACCCCCATTCAATAAAGGGGAAAGCCCTTTCTGAAAATGGGACATTTTCTTTTTTTTTTTTTTAAAGATTTTATTTATTTATTTGAGAAGGAGAGAATGAGAGAGAGCACAAGAGGGAAGAGGGTCAGAGGGAGAAGCAGACTCCCCACTGAGCAGGGAGCCCGATGTGGGACTCGATCCCGGGACTCCAGGATCATGACCTGAGCCGAAGGCAGTCGCTTAACCAACTGAGCCACCCAGGCGCCCTGAAAATGGGACATTTTCAACTAAACAGTCTAAGACCTAGAATGTTTCCTCCTGTAAAAGATCACGTGGGGATTAAGCAAAGGTAAGTGTTCACAATCGTTTCACACGGAGGGATTTGAGGTGCTCGGGCTGCGTGCGTGAGGCTGAGATGCCCATTCATGGAGCAGCTGAAATCACAGTAGGACATGAAGTTCACCTTTGTCATCTTGGTCCCTAAATCTCACCTAACCATCCCCACCTTCTGGAAGCAGCAGACTTTGTTCTGGGCTCCACACAGGGCTTCATAATAACCCCTATGCTGGGAAACGGGCCTCCCTCCCCTGCAATCTTAGACTTTTTAAGTGAAAGCCATATAATATAAACAACCAGAAGTAGGCCTTGTTAAATTAGCTTTGGGAACAACATATTGATCTGTATATATTGAATTAGGTGACTGCACCTCACACTATGAGGTTATTGACCATGGATGGGAGATCACTGGGGACGATTCTCAGTGGCCTAGGCTAAACAGGGCCACAAAACTCCCAAGCAAGCCATAAGATCTAACCACACAATTGATGTATCATTTCCTCCTCGCTAGGAAAATCCAGTGCCGTGCGTGATTTGGAGGAGGTCTCTCCGGGATTGCAGAGACATTTCTGGTTTCATCTACAAATCTCCACTTTGTCTGCCCAACTGTAAGGTATCACAAGGTTCAGTACAGTTATCGGTAAACCCCCAAAGCCTAGATAAAGTCAATAGCCCTTTTGTTATTCTTGGAGGAAAGGAGGAAAAAAAGCAGTGGCCTCATTTAGAGACGGTTCACTGATCTCTGGAGGGCCTTGCTCGCCTGGAACTGGGAAGCTCTGGCCTCAGGAAAGCAAAATCAGGATATTACCTAGAAAGAAACTGCCCCACAAGAGTACTGTTTATCAAAAGATGGAGGCAAAGAAATCCAGAAACTAATATACAGAATCAACCAAACTCCTGAGTGGTAGCATTTGGATCCCAACCCCATTCCCACCCACCCCCATTTTCCCTCCCAGAAGATGCCTTTCCTGACCGACTGGAGGCTTCAGTAGCTGCCCTTCCTCCATGACTCACGAAAGCTACTCACTAGGTTATGTGAGGACATCACATCCTCTTTCGTCACTTCAGGGCATTTGAGGGAATGCAAAGCAAGGTTGCATCATCTGGACATTTCAGAGTAAAAGGTCGGGCTGCTAGGGGAAAAAAATGAGGAGTCTGAAGATCCGCTATGCTTTATCTTGTCTGGGCCCTGTAGGAAAACGTAGGTTTTCCAAGGTGAAGATAAGAGCAGTTGAAATGAATTGAGTGGGGGCACCTGGGTGGCTCAGTCGTTAAGTGTCTGCCTTTGGGTCAGGTCATGATCCCAGGGTCCTGGGATCGAGCCCCGCATCAGGCTCCCTGCTTGGCAGGAGGCCTGCTTCTCCCTCTCCCACTCCCTCTGCTTGTGTTCCCTCTCTCTGTCAAATGAATAAATAAAATCTAAAAAAAAAAAAGAAAGAAAAATGAATTGAGTGGCTGGTCCCAGGAGGGCAGTTGCAGGAGAAAAGGCACCACTCCGTCACTGCAAGGGTGCTTCATCTTCTGGACATGCCTTCAGAGAGTGCTCAAGGCATGCACATTTTAAAGATGACTTTGATCTTCCTCCAAGCATTCAAATGTAATCTTCATTTAAGGAGTCCTTGTGTTTCCAAGGCCCTCTGCTTAACTTGGCAAGAATTAGAGGCCGGCAGAAAGATCTGTCTGAGCTGAGGACTTTGTTGGGAGTTGGGGAGGGGGTGAGGCGAGTTTTTCCAGAATCTGTGGATAATGAAGTATCCTGGTCTTTAGGAAACTGCGTGGGCTCCACAAGGGTCAGAGAAGTACTACTGTGTAACTCATGTTATTAAAAACAAAACAAGACAAAAACACCAGCGGTTATCAAGAGGAACCCTGGCTGATCCTTCCCCAACACTTGGTTTTGTCTCCCCAGCGCCCCGAACTGGCTTTAATGCCCAGGGCTGATCCACTAAGCCTCTGTTTTCTAATTTAGCCAGAAAGGGTAAGACAGACAACAATGGGTCAACTTTCCATTAAGCACACACACACTCAAAGCTCTTTGCTGGGTCAGGCGGGGGCCAGTTAGGAAAACATGCCCCCTGTAGTTGATGAGAAATCGGAAGAGCAAACAAGGGAGCCTCAGGTTGCAAGGTTACGGAGCCTGCCTTTCTGGCACGAAGGAGAAGTTTGCTCCAATACCATTCCAGGCAGAAAACCACCTACCCCATTCTTGGGCAATATCACCTTTCTTAAAGATGACACTCTAAGGTAAATAAAGGTTCAGGTTTTTTTTTTTTTCCCCTAAGATTTATTTATTTATTTGAGAGGCGGGAGGAACAGGGGGGCAGGGACAGGGAGCCTCAAGCCGACCCACGTGGGCTCAGTCCCAACGCCCTGAGATCACAACCGGAGCCAAAACCAAGAGTCAGACGCTTACCCGGCGGCACCACCCAGGCGCCCCCAGATCCAATTTCTTTAAAGATGTTGATCCCACTTGCTGCAGGCACTACGTGAGGAGTTTTCTCCCTGCCAGGACAAGTACAGAGGAAGATGGGGTGTCACGGCTCCAGAGGGACAAACAGCAACACCACCACAGAGGAAGCTCGTTTTTATGGACCTGACAACTGTTTGCATAGCAGTCACCGTGCGGCCAGCACCGTTCTTAGCACTTACCAAATATTAACTCATTTAAAATATGTATATTAAACTCATTTAATCTCAACATCATGAAGTAGGGACTGTTTGTTACTATCCCCCCTTCCAAAGACGAGGAAACTGGTACAAAAGCTTCCCTTCTCAAGATCACACAACAGAGATCACACAGCAATTTGGCTCCAATGTCAACATTCTTCACCAGGTACCGAAAGCCACACACGGCCAGGAGTGCTACCTCAACTTTGGGGTGGCCTAAAATTTTCAAGACAAATCATCATCATTGCTAACACCCCCCAAGTGTTAACTGTTTTACATGCTTAATGGCATGTATCCTTCTGCACACTCCTATCAGGCAGGTATTGTTGCCCTTGGTTTTCCAGATAAGGGAACTGTGGCTTAGACAGATGACAGGGCTTGACCAAGTTCATGCGGCTGGGACTCAAACCGGATTCCAAAGCGTTCCTAACCATTGAGGTAGTGCTTCAACGTGCCTAAAAATCCCATGCAAATAGAAAGCAAGGGTAATCAAAAACCACCCAACAAGGAAAAGTCCAGGTCCAAATAGATTTGCCAATGAATTCTACCAAATATTTAAAGAATACCAATCCCAACCAAAGGATACAAAAATACTGATTCGAAGGGACATGTGCACCCCAATGTTTATAGCAGCATTATCGATGATAGCAAAAATA